GGAGTCTTTGCAGTGTTGGAATCAGACAAGCCAAACTTCTTTAGAAGTTCTTTGGTGTACTTGCTCTGATGAATGAAAGTCTCTTTTAGGCCTTGATTGATTTGGATTCCAAGAAATAACTTGAGTTCTCCCAACAAGCTCATCTCAAATTCAGCCTGCATAAACTTAGCAAATTCATTGCACATAATGGCATTAACATAACCAAATATAATATCATCAATATATATTTGAACTATTAGAATGTCATTTTTGAATGACTTACATAACAAGGTGGTATCAACCTTTCCTTTGGTGAAATCATTTTCTAAAATAAAGTTGCTTAATCTTTCATACCAAGATTTAGGAGCTTATTTATAACCATACAATGATTTCTTGAGTTTGAAAACAAAATCTGAATTTTTTTAATTTTCAGAACCAGGAGGTTTGTGTACATACACTTCCTCAGTTATGTAGCCGTTCAGAAACGCACTCTTAACATTCATCTAATATAAGATGATGTTATGGTTAACAATAAACGAAATCAAGAGATGAATAGACCTTAAACTAGCAACTGGTGCAAATGTTTTTGTATAGTTAATCCCTTCTTGCTGACTATAACCTTGTGCAACCAGTTGAGCCTTGTTTCTTACCATTTCTCCTTTTTCATTGAGCTTGTTTGTGAAGACCCATTTGGTTCCAATCACATAGGTTCCTTTAGGTCTAGGCACAAGATCCCACACATCATTAATGGAGAATTGATTAAAATTTTCTTACATTTCCAGAATTCATTATGTGTCCAGAAGTGCTTCATCAACGAATCTAGGTTCTATGAGGGACGCCAAACCCAGAAGCGTCTCTTCAGAAGGTTTGAATGAAGATATGGTTCTGACTTGTTAAGTTTTGTCGCCAAGAATTAATTCCTCAGAATGTGAAGATCTTTTTCTATGCTTCCTCAGAGGAGATGAGCTTCAACAACTTCTGGTTGAACTTCTTCAGATTCCTTTTCTTTGGTTCCTCTGTAACAACGTCATTACCTTCTGAGTTTGAAAACGTAATCTCCATATCTACAAGCTTTTCAACTAGCTTTGACTTTTCAGAGTCAAGCTTATCATTGAATAACATGAATAGATTCCTCAACAATAAGTGCTTTAGTGTTATACACTCTATAGCCTTTTGAGCATTCAAAGTATCCTAACATGATACATTTTATTGCTTTAGAATCAAACTTGTTAAGATTCTCCTTAGTGTTCAGAATAAAACAGTCACATCCAAAGGGATGAAAATATGAAATGTTGGGTTTTCTGTTCTTCCACAATTCATAAGGAGTCTTACGTAGAATAGGTCTTATCGAGACTCTGTTCTGAATGTAACATGACATGTTAACTTCCTCTTCCCATAAATTCTTTTCCATGTTAGTCTCGTTAATCATGGTTCTAACCATTTATTGCAAAGTTCTATTCTTTCTCTCTACAACTCCATTTTTCTGTGGAGTTCTAGGGCAGGAGAAATCATGGTAAATACCATTTTCATAAAAAAACTTTTCAAAGTTTTTATTTTCAAACTCGCCACCATGATCACTTCTGACTTTGACAATTCTGAGATCCTTCTTATTTTGAACTTTAGAGCAAAAGGTAGTAAACATAGAATGCGAATCATCCTTGTGTTTAAGAAACTTAACACATGTCCATCTGCTATAGTCATCAACAATGACTAATCCATACTTTTTACCATTGACTGACGCAATTTTCACTGGTCCAAATAGGTCAATGTGCAAAAGCTCCAAAGGCCTAGAGGTAGAAACAACATTCTTTGCCTTAAAAAAGGTTTTTAAAATTTTTCCTTTCTGACATGCTTCACAAACAGCTTCTGAAGAGAACTTCATATTTGGAAGGCCTCTAACTAAATCAAACTTATTTAGCTAATAAATCATTCTCATGCTAACATGGCCCAAACGGCTATCCCAAATCCATTGCTCTTCATTAACAGACATAAGACATTTTAAGTTTTTCTATTTAAGATCAGAAAGTCTAATCTTATAGATGTTGTTTTTCCTCTTGCCATTAAAAAGGATTGAGCCATCATTCTGACTAACAGCTTTACAGAATTTTTGATTAAAGATTATATCATAACCATTGTCACTTAATTGACTTATGCACAATAGATTATGCATTAATCTACTAACAAGAAAAATATAAGGAATAGAAGGGAGATAACCATTACCAATTTTTCCGAAGCCTATGATCTTCACTTTCTGATCACCTCTGAAACCCAAAAGCCTTCAGGCTTCGAAACATATGTATTCTTTCTGTCATGTGTCATGAGCAGCCAAAGTCCAAATACCATGACCAATGTCTTAAATTTGCTGCTAAAGATATTTGCAACATAGATTATCTTTTTCTTAGGTACCCACAACTTTACTGCTCCTTTTTTATTAGTCTTCCCAGAGTTGTTCATAACCTTGGGCTTAGTTGCAGGATAATCATATCTATATGAATAGTTGAAACGAATTTTGCTTTTGGTTTTTCCTTAGATTTTGAAAGAGGTTTTTCTTTTTCTTTAGGCATAAAACCAGCAGAGATAAAATGAGAATGAAGAGTATTTGATTTATATTCTTTTTCAGAATCAAATTCTTCATAAGAATCATAACCAATGCTTCTTGTACCTTTTCTTCTTACGTCATAGATCATTAAAGCCATGAAGCTTCTTCCAAGGCTTATAGCAAAAAATTTCTTGAAAGATTTGTCATATTTCTTTATGACATCATCGGTGCTCACAGAATCTTCTGAAAGAATTTCTTTCTCAAGCTTGGAAGTCTTGATTCTGAGAGAAGAGTTATCAATCTTAAGAATAAAATTTTCTTCATTCAAAGATGGAAATTCTTCCTTAATTTTACTGTATTCTTTAGAAACAGATTCGTTGACCTTTTTAAGTTCATTGAATTCGATCTTAAGAAACTCATGTTTTTCCATAATCTCAAGTAATGAAGATGTTAATTCAGAATGAGAAAGGTCAGAAAATACTTCTTCTATATCTGAATTAGAATCTACTTCAGCTTCTGGATAGATCTTCTCATCAGAAGCCTTAATGCTCGCTATCAGTGCTACGTTAGCTTGTTCTTCTTCAGAATCATCTCAGGTTGCTATCAACCCTTTATTTTTTCCTCTGAAAGCTTTCTTATGGGGCTTGCCCTTTCTAAGCTTAAGACACTCGTTCTTGTAATGGTCTGGCTCTTTGTACTCATAGAAAGTGACATCTTTGCTGCCACCGGACTTCATTCTACAAATCAGTATAATGTTAGCAGTGCTTATCGTCTTTTGTCAAAGTCGACAATTCCTTAACAATACCGTGAATATCATGTTTGGTGGTCCAAAGTGGTGCCGCTTAAGGTTTTTTTTTGTTTGGCAGTTATATCGTAACAAGCTTCTAGCGAAGAATAATTTGGTTAGGCGTCGAATTATTAGTACAGAGGCGCAGATATGTTTAGCAGAGTGTGGTCAAGTGGAGAACAAGGATCATATATTTGTTCGGTATGATTTTTATAGAAAATTTTAACCGATGATGGTTGGTTGGTTAGGTTTTTCATCGGGTTTCTAGGCTAATCTTCAGGATCACCATGATCACTTTGTGGCATTGGAAGGATGGTCAAAATCTGGCTGTAACGTCTTTCACATCATTTGGATGGCTGTTGTGTGGATCATTTAGAAAGTGCAAAATCAACAGATTTTTCAGAACATTAGTCTTTCGTTGGTTTATGTTTGTGAAAATGTTAAACATCAATCATTTAGGTGGTTGAAATCTCATTTCCAATCGTTTATTGTTGACTATCAGAGTTGAAGGTTAAATCCTATGCAGTGTTTAGTAGGTAGTAGCTTATAGTTTTGTGTTGTGTTTTTCGTTAACATATTTTTTGATCTGATTGTTGATGTAACTTTACATTTGTAATCTTTCTGATATTTCTTGTGCCGGAAAGGATTAGTGGTGCTTAATATATCATTTTAATTTCTTAAAAAAACAAAGTAAATAAAAACATAAATTAAAAAAATTAAAAAAGAGAGAAAAATATCAATTACAAAATGGAAACAATTTAAAAAAAAAAGAGAAAATAACAATTTTAAAAATGTTTTACTATGAAAAATAAACTCTAATTACGGTTAAATCACAAATAAAATTTTAAAATATTTTCTGACAGTTTTTTAATATATCAATTTTTACTACTGAAAAACTTAACTCTAACTTTTTAAAAAAAAACTTTATCAATTTCGAAAATGATAAAATTGTATCAATATTTTTATAAAAATGAAGTTAAATGATGAAAATAATAAAATTAAATCATTTTATATTTTTAAGGGTGCGAATATAATTGTAGACGTATCCATTAAAATTTTCTAAAAAGGGTTCATTTTTCTCTTCTAGAATCCATGACCTTAATGGATAAATGATATCCAAAGATTTCATTTTTAATATTTTTAATATCAAATTCTAATTGGTCAATAAGAAAAAGCAGATCCAAATTGACCGACTTAATATTGTCAAAAGCAACAAAGGCAAACTCCCATAAATACATTCTAACACGTACACAATTCTGTGTATAAATATACACACACGTATACATATATTTATATTTTAATTTAATAAAAAAATACTAATCTAGAAGCATTATATAAGCAAATATTATATTTAAAAAGAAAACTGCATATAAAACAGTCAAATAATCAAACCGTCCTTTTCAGACCATCGCACGTGCGAGTTACAATTTTAACAATAATAAAGCTCACACGTGTGAGATCTAATTCATTACCATATTATATATGAAAACGATTTTCAACAAAAAACCAAAGCATCGGTATACAAAGACGGCTAGAATTACATTCTTGTCCCTTAAGGCCGTGACATTAGCAGTGAGCCATACCATACCATATATACCACTGGTCAACCAAAAAAATCACAACCCTTTATCAATTATGTCTCTATATATATAACTCAACACCCATCCATAACCACATTGATTCATCAGCAACAAAATGGAAGTGTTGAGTCCTAAGAAGGAGGATCATTTCGGTTTCAACAGGTTTTCATATCTAAGTGCTCCTTCTTCACCAAAACGGTTTGGTGAAGCTTTTTACTTAAGTGCCCCTACTAGTCCATCAAGATTTTACGCCCAATTCGAAGATGATGACGACGACGGTTTCGCGTTTCCGGTTAGTCGGGAGCAAGATTCATCTCCTCGTTCAGCTGGAGAACTCTTCGACGATGGGATAATCAAGCCACTGGAATCTGATAATTCAGATCTTTTATCTCCGCTTATATCTCCGAATCCAGTGAAACAATCTTCGATAGCCAAAGGAAAGAAATCAATCTTAGAAGCTTTTTCATCTAAAAATAAGAATGATTTATCAACTCAGGAGAGAAGAGGTAGAGATAGAACACCGTCTTTTGAATTTTCTACATCAAAATCTGGTAGAAGAATCATTCGTTCCGATTCTCCATCTAGAAAACCACAGTACACATGGATTGAAGAAAAACAAAAGGAACATGAACAAAAACAAAGTAAACAATCGGAGGTTGAATCTGTTCCTTCATCTCATTCTTGGAGAACTTCTAGAATATGGAGATTGAAGGATTTTTTGTTGTTTCGTAGTGCTTCTGAAGGGAGAGGTACAAGCAAGGATCCATTCAGGAAATTCCCTCTTTCTTACACCAAGAAATCATCTGAAGAAGGTAAAGGTTCGTCATCACCGTTTAGATCGAATATACCAAAGTCTAGAAGAAAAGAACCGGTTGTTTCTGCACATGAATTGCATTACAATAGAAAGAAAGCTGAAAATGAGGATTTGAAGAAGAAAACTTTTTTGCCTTATAAACAAGGGATTTTGGGTAAGTTGGCTGGGTTAGGATCAAGCACAAGATGAATGTCATGAAATATTTTATCATTCTTTCAACTCTGTCATAGTTTTTTATTTTTATTTTCTGCATAAGCAAAACTGTATTCTTTTGTTGAAATTTTAATGTATACATAATTATTTTATTATGAATATTATATATTTATTGATTTTTGTTAGAATAGTTAAATAGAGACAAGGGCATGTGAGGGATAGATGAAGACAAATGAGAATGCAAATGGGACCGACATGATACATTAACAAATTCAATTTGATAACAATCTTGCAGTGTTTTAAATTATCGGTTATAGGTTAAAAAACGGATAACAACTTCCAAATGTCCTGCACAAACACATATGCATATGTCTCAGTATCTATAAATCTTTGCATAGGGGAATGAAAAGACTTTGAAGTAGGGGTTTTAGGGGTTTTCATTCACGCTTTTGACGTAAATAAAATCAAACGAAGCTAAAGAAATGCAGGTGTGTTAATTCGGTTTTTTTATAAAAAAATTTATTGAGTCATATATGTATATAAATAATAATATATTTTTGTATTTGATTATTTATGTATTGTTAAATAATAATAAAATTCATTATATTTAAATAGTAATTTCTTATTTAATATATAAAAATAAACTAAAGATTAATTTTTATATTTAATTATTTATGTGTTGTGAAATAATAATAAAATTTATCATATTTAAATAATAATTTCTTACTTAATATATAAAAATAAAATTAAAAAAGTGAAAAAAAACATAAAATAGAAGTATAAAATAATATCAAAAATATTAAAATAAAATAAAAAAATAGAAGAGATGAAATATTAGAGAAGATGAAAAAAAAAAGAGAAGAAGAGAAGAGAGATTAAAGAACAAAATATATATTAAAAATATAATTGAAAAAGATAACAATAAAATAAAAATAAAAAGATGAAAAAGAAAATAAAATATGAAAGACTAGAGAAGTAGGGATGTCAATGGGGCGGGGCGGGGTCGGGGGGACACTTCCCCATCTTTTTCCCCGCCATCAAATTCATTTCCCGTCCCCGATCTCCGTCACGGGGGAATTTCTATCCCCATCCCCGTTCCCCGCGGATCCCCGTTCCCCGCGGGGATCCCCATAGATCCTACATTTATTCATTAATATTTTATTTTTTTAAAATGTTTATATTTTCTATAAAAATAAAAAGCACAAAGAATTCACATATTTATTATGTTATTAAAAAATATTAGTATTTGACATTTATTATTTTTTATTAAAAATACTAATGGAACACAAAATAATAATATTTTTTTTATAAATTTCTATAAAATGCTATAAAATTCAACAAAATGAACTATAATACTTTTTAAAGTAACAATATGCCTAAACAACTAAAAAAATCCAACAACATAATTATGCTTAAAAAACTATACTTCATCAAAACTAAAGGAAATGAATATTTATTTATTTATTTTTATAAATAAACATAAAGGAAATGACTAAAAAACTTAATCTAAAATATATATATTAAATTAACTATATTAAAATAATAGGCGGGGCGGGGTCCCCGCGGGGCGGGGGGTGTATTCCCCGTCCCCGTCCCCGAAATGCTCTCGGGGGAATTTTTCTCCCCATCCCCGCCCCCACGGGGAAAAATTCTCCATCGTTGGGGCCCCGAACGGGGCGTTCCCCGCGGGGATCCCCATTAACAGGTCCAAACTGACATCCTAAGAGAAAAGAGTTGAGATTTACATAAAAAAGAAGATGAGAAAAATATGTGTTATCATTAGAAAAGATTTGAAGATTTATATTAAACTCTATTGTGTAAGGAAGAGAAAGTCATTTTTAATTGTAAAAGTAATATATAATAAATTGAATTTGAGTTGAATGTGTCTTAAGTAAAATTTAAATTGTATATTTAATTTGATTTGATTTGTTATGTAAAATACAAATTGTAAACTAAATCAAACAGTGTGATTTTCTTAAAACTCAATTACATTTAATTTTTTTATAATTTTAATTTAATTTAATTTAATTTAATTTATAATTTTCTATTAAACTGATCTAATTTTGAACTCCTTTCCTTGAAGTGAAAAGATGTATTTTGAATGAGTGATGGAAAAATTGTTACTAATTGCTAGGATTATGTTGGGAGTGAAAATGGAACTATTGATCTCTTTTTCACTTTATTATTTAACTCTTTCAACTCCCGAATCAAACTTTATATGTAACATTTTAATCACATTTAATATACTTTTTAATTTTTTTATTATGGATTTCATAACATTTTTTCTTCTATTTATGGATTCCTTAATTTAGAAAATAGAAAAAGTATCTCTTATAAAATTCTTTTTTAATGTTTACAAAAAGAAAATTTATAATGTAATAGTCATCTCAAATGACATATATATTAATTTTTTTAAAGAAGGTGTTAAGTGAGATGGTGTCTAGTCATGTTCTAAATTTTTTTTCAAATTTTTTAATTTATTTATGAATTTTCCTGCAGATTTAATTTTTCCTGTAGATTTACTTGTGGATCTACATTGCAAATTATTTTCTCACAGGTAATTCCTAGAAAATTTTGCAGGTAAATCCGCGGGTAATATAAAATACGCAAAAAAAATTACAGATAATTGGAAAAAAAAATTGAAAAATATATAAGAAACGTCAATTCAAGTGACGCCTACTCTTTAGTTCATTAAAAAAAAACATAATTATTTTCGTAATTTTCTCTGAAATATTTTATTTATGTATTTTTTTTCCAAAATATAGTTATTGCTAAAAAAATATTCCCTTACCTTACTATGTGGAGATTCTTTTATACAAAAAAAATGTTCTTAGTGCATGTAGGGGTGAAAAAAACAGGTCTGCCACGTTGGACATGTCCATTTTACCTGCATTTTAGTGCGGCGCAGACCAAGAATTTAGGCTCTCACCCTCTAATGTGACCACTTCGGCCCACTCCGTATTCTCCGCGGAGTTTTGTGGACATGATTATTAACATAAAATTTTGCATTTTTAGGGCTAAAATATGTAGTGCCTACGGACTTTGCCCGCTCCACACTCATTATTTTGCGAGACAGACCTAGGTTTTAGACTCTTATCCTCAACTATACATGTTCCGCTCTGCTTCGTTTTTTGTAGACTTTTACAGACGGATTAAACAGAGTGGACATGTCCGTTTGCCATCCCTAAATACATGCATTATACTGAAGTAGAGATCCCCATTTGTTATATGTATATTTTCTTAACTTTTTTAAATATATTTATTGGAAAATTTTTAAAATAGAAATTGTTTTAAATTTAATGTTTATAATATAAAAGAGTATCTTTAATATTTATATAATAATATCTTTAAAATGACTTTTTAAGAAAAGTTATTCAAAATAGTTTTAAACTTTAATAATTTCTGAAATAAAATGATTTCCCAAAAAATTATATAAAAGGATATATATTTAAACCATTTTTAATTAAAATTTATTAAAATTATTTTTTTATTCAAAGTTTTTTTAAAATAAATTTTGTTTTAAGACAATACTTTCTTTTTTAAAAATATCTTAATTAACATTATTAATTTTGTCTTGCAATAAAAAAGTTAAAATTAAAGATATTTAGGTATAACATGATATTTTAATAATATACATACAAAATAGATATTTCAAAAAAAGAAGATGTGATAAAACGGTTCCGACTCGTTAGACATTTCTTTTTTTGAGCGCATTTATTTTCAAAACGAATCAAAGTTTTAGGTCGGACACTCTAATATATTTGTCTTGTTTCGTCTCGTTTATTTGTGGGCTTTTGCGGACGCATATATTAACACAAGTTTCTATAATATTTAAGTTAAAAAGATGTATAGTCTGGGATTCCACTCCGTCCCAGCTTCACTTTTTTTTCCCGGGGAAGAGCATGGTTTCAAGGTCACACCCTAAAAAATGTCTCGTCCGACCCTTTTTTTTTTGCAGACTTTTGCAGGACAGATATATCTCCTTGCCATCCTTAGTTTCAAGTTGTTTACTTTGGATTTTGGTAAAGAACCGCTAGTCTTCTAAACTTGATACTTTGGTTACTTATAAGATCGACTAGATGGATCCTAGAACATATGTGCCTAGTTTTGTTAAGTTTTCTTGATAATGAGCACTTCGACACTACTAGAAACTATGAAAGTAATGCAAAGACGATTTATAAAAAGTGAAAGAATGTAAAGTAATTTCGATTAAAACTTAAATAGAATCAAAATGACATTAATATAAATAGTTTGATATTGAATGTAAATGTAGTGATTCATACGTACATGTTGCTCATAAAACTCTTTTCTCAACACACTTAGATACTTTGAGTGATTTTGAGTTTGATACAATTGAACACACTGAATTCTAACGCTAAGACTCCTATTTATACTACTTCAACAATAACGGTAATGAACAGTCTTTTCTCTAGATAATGACACGTTCTCGCTTGCATGCATATCGTGTTTCACATGCCTCCATGCGTCTTTTTAAGAAAACGGATAAGGCCAAAAAGCAGCTATCAGCCTTATTTCAAATTATCTCGTCAAACTCCCTTTCGAGGAAAATTCCAAAATATTTTAAGTTCCAAACTGTTATCACCCTGAAGACATGGGGTTCTTTCTCCAAATTCAAACATGCATTTAAACCTTAACATCAAAAACCGGGCAGCATGTATATCATCTCATGAATCGTGCAAAATGTAGGTTTAAAAACATCAAAATTCAATGCATATGACCAAGATATATTAATGCAAGTGCGATAATGTATGAACCAACAATTAAATGCATCTCAAGTACAACTTAGAAAACCCGGTCAGCAACATATTATTTCATGAAATCGCTCAATTTAACACATCGAAACCGGGAAAATTTAAACGCAATTGTTAGCAATCAAACAATTAAGCATAAGCGATTATGAAATGAGAATTGTATCACAATAAACATGCAACAATAGCATCCAGACATCATTGTTCCACTACACAGAAAGCATAAAAAACTGGTTCCGAAATCAACCAAAGTGGCACCAATGCTTA